AAATTAGGACACGCCCCACCCCCAACATTTTTTATTTTTTTTTTTTTTTTTTTTTGATACAGGGTCTCACTATGTAGTGAGACTGACCTGGAACTCACTATGTAGCCCAGGCTGGTCTCGAACTCACAGCGATCCTCCTGCCTCAGCCTCCTGAGTGCTGGGATTACAACACACTTTATGAATTTTGAGAAAGGGTCTAAGTTGCCCAGGCCGGCTTTGAACTTGTGATCATCCTGCCTCAGCCTCTTGAGTAGCTAGGATTACAGTTGTGCACCACTATATTAACTGAGGTCTTCATTTCTGGGACCTCACAGGAAGATAAAGGGCCATTACATTTTAAAATATATCTTTTTTGCTCACCTGCAGCCACACACTTTATGAATTTTGAGAAAGGGTCTAAGTTGCCCAGGCCGGCTTTGAACTTGTGATCATCCTGCCTCAGCCTCTTGAGTAGCTAGGATTACAGTTGTGCACCACTATATTAACTGAGGTCTTCATTTCTGGGACCTCACAGGAAGATAAAGGGCCATTACATTTTAAAATATATCTTTTTTGCTCACCTGCAGCCAGGTGATCTCTGACGTTCTTTGTATCTAGTTTCTCCTTTCTAATTGCTCTGCTTGTTCTCATATTGCAAAGCAGGGCTGTGGTTAGGCCAAGGCAAAACAGACACTCAGGGCCTCTTAAAATTAGTGAGAAATTTCCTATCAATTCTAATTCTCAGTGAACTTATATATTATTCCACTCGGTTCCAGAATTATCCAAGAATTTTTTTTTGTGCTATGAAGTGTAGCATATTTCTTTGCAATAGAAATATGGTCCTAGGTTGAAATTAAAATTTCTAGTCTAGGAGAATCAAAACAGTACCATTATAATTATTAGTAATGAAAAATAAAATATTAACAATTTCAATAGACCCTAAAAGTAAAGTTGCACTGGAAATGCACCCTAAGAAGAATGGGAGGTGGACGTGGTATGCACGCCTCTAATCCCAGCAACCCGAGAGGCCGAGGGAGGGAGAGCAACTCAGCTAACGAGCTGGGAAGACCCTGTCTCAAAATGAAGAAAAGACTTGATATGCAGCACAGTGCAAAGGCGCTGGATTCAATCCTCAGTACCACCCAAAACAAACAAACAAAAACATGGAAGTAACTGCTCTTCCCAGTTAAATTCATGTATTTTCATTTAAGTATTACTGTGAGAATTCAACATGGTCAGCAGGTACTTCTGTCAATTAAAACCATTTTTAAATAAAATGCACATATGCTTTAAATATAACTTCATACAACTTTGCAGCTAAGGATTAAACTCTGAGTTTGGGGAAGTGTCTGCCAGGAAGTCCAACAGAGAATGCCAATCTTTTTTTTTTTAAACAAGGTCTTGCTATGTAGTTCAGGCTGGCCTTGAACTCACTATGTAGTCCAGGCTGGCCTCAAACTCATGGTGATCTTCCTGTCTCAGCCTCCTGAGTGCTGGGATTACAGATAGGCACCACCATGTCCGGTCTTTTAGGCCAGAATTGTCACAATGTGCTTCTCATCATTACACTTTTCCTTTCTACTCAATGAAAGACAAGGGCATACTCTGCTAAAAGACTAGTAACGAGACGATGATGCTATTTTTGTTAACAGGATGTAAAGGCACTGATTTTGTAACAGGAAATAAGACGGACTATCACCAGAATATTTCATGATCTGTGATAAGCTAAATTAGTTTCAGTTGCTGTATGAGCACACTTAATCTGAAAACATCACGTACAATTCTCTCTAATCTGTACACCTAATTTGGTGTCTCTGGGAGACCTACAGATACCATAGGGACCTTTAGAAGAATCACTACTACTAATGTGTCTTGCTTTAACATCAGAAGATTTTTTTTTTCCCAGTTAACAATTTGTCCTAGGAATAAATCAACACCCAACAAGAACTTAACACTCTTTTGTTCAAAGGCAGTACATTCTTTGACAACACTGGAAGATTGGAAAAAAACTTTGCATGAAAACTGTCAAAATCTTTCTGGTCTTCTCTATAATCTATCTCAAGTCAGAACCGTTCAGTATCCACCGTAGCAAAATTTCTGCACACAACAGGGTAGGTTGGTCACAGATCTTCATGGAAGTTTTGACGCCTAAATTAATCTGTACGAGACACTTCCCTAAAAACAGTATCCTGAACTGTCCCTGGCTTTGGTGTTCTGAAGATTATTTTGTTTTTAATGCATATCATTGGGCAGTGCACAGGGTAAAATTTTGGCTAAGAGATAATGGTTTATTTTTTCTGGGAAGAAGAGGGGCACTGGTAAGGGAAAGGTGTCAAGGAGAACCTGGAGAGCAGCCAGTTCAAAGGTACATTCTCAAATATGGGGTCACGCAGGCCATCTCTATCGGGAATGTTCATCTGAGTCAAGGAACATAGCACAAGATCTCAGTGAACATTTTTCCAATTTTCTGAAGGACTGGAGAGCTGACTTAGTACACAAAATGGATGCCAGAGCACAGTGGGGCATAACTCTCACTGATATGGTCAGACCCTCACAGTTCCTATGGTAAAAGCATCATATGCAATTCTACTTACAGGGAAAAATAGTCAATTAATAACAAAGAGCAAATAAAAATGTGTCTCATTTCAAAAAAATAATTTCTAAACTTGGAAGCAGTCTTCGCTGGGTAGTAGAATTGTAAGGGAAAGTGCATAAGGAATCCACATTTTATTTTTTCCAGAAAACAAACCAACGTGACAAGTCCCATGTGTGTTGGACGCGCACTTTGTTGAACCAAGGGTTCACTCCAGCCATCATTCTCAACTCCAGGCAACTGGAGCCACTTTAAACCAGGCTCCTCAGCTTTCCTGGATTGCTGTTATTCTTCCAGATGAATTTAAAATTGACTTTTGTTTTCCTTTAAGCACTCCTTTGGAATTTTAAAGCAACTGAATCAAATATGTAAATTAACAAGAATTGAGCCTTTTCTTATCCAACTACATGAGAAGCCTTACTGAGACTTTACCTGCACCCAGATTTGTCATTAATAA